TGAAAGTAATTTGTTGATAGAAATTTATTCTTTAAGCCTTGACTATTCCAATTTAAAACTGTAGTCGGATGTATATTTTTAATAGTTTTTTCTTGGTGAGTTTTATTTTATTGTAAATATCAACTTGATGATTCTGGTGAAGCAGAGAAAGGCTGAAAGGTATCCACGTAGACTAATTTTCCTGTATTAATACTAAAAGTTAATTTATTGCAGTCTATTAGCAAATTGTCGTTACGTAGTTTAACTGATTGGTTTTGGTTTCTTAATTCATAATATATTGGCAATAAGTGTTTTCTTCTTTTACGTGTTTCTTTAGTAAGATCAGGTGCTATCTGTATATTACCCCAGTCTTCCATTAATTTACGTTGTTTCTTTGATATGAAAGCATTATATATTTGATCACGGGTCTGTTTCGTACTAAGTGATAGTTTTATAATCTGGTTGGTTGATTTGGTTATTTGAATTATATCTAGGATATCCTCCTGAGTTACATTATTTAGGTTTAATGTTAAGTTGATGAATTTAAGAATTTCTGGTTTGGAAGTGCTTTTTGACGAAGGATAGTTGTATAATACTATATTATTATAATGACAGTCATTAATTAGAGTATCCATTTTATACTGTATCAGTTCCTTTTCAGATTTTAAATTGTCAATTTGAATTTTTAGATTATCTATTGAACTTTCCATTTTTTCAAATTGAATTTTATTTTCCCGTATAGTACCATGAATTAAATTCAGTTCTTCTTTTATATATTCCATTTGTGCAGATAGTTTATCATTAGAAGTATTAATCAATTCAGATATCCTATTCCATAGATCTGCTGTTAAAGTGTCATTCGAGCTTATTGGAGTAGATGAATTAATTACATTGGACTCACCTGAAAAGCTTTGTAGATTTTGTTTAGATATATCCGTATGTGAACCATTGTTTGCCGTAGACGATTCCTGTAATTCTTTATCCATTGATAAGTTGTAGTCCGTTATAAGCTTGAAATTAGATGTACCTGGTTGCGTCTTTTTGCTTTCCGGTTTGCTTCTATTAGTTGGCGGTCTACCACGTTTTTTTGGTGAACGTTGCATACTTATTAATTATTAATTTTCCTCGAACTTGATTATTCCTTATTAGTATTAAACACTTTTGGTTAATTCAGATAATAAAATTGAAAAAATACACTAAATTCTAGATTTACGTCGAGGTTAGAAACAAAGTTACCAGCAGCGCTCACGGTCAAGTCACGCCCCCCTTAATATAAAATATTATAATGAGTAAGTAATATCAATAATTAAATAATTAATTTTTTAACTTCACTTGATTAACTCAATCATATAAAAACAAATTGTGAAAATATAATGCGAAATAGAAAACAATTGATAAAAACTTTTGGATATAAGTTTTCTCAATTTCTTTTCATTGAATTTGTTATTTAAAGTTCTAATGCACAATGAGCTGTTTTCTGACCTCAATTTTGTCATTACAGATGGACTCTGTCTATATTAAATTTGGCTATCACAAATATACCTTATCTACGCCAATATATTAAACATTACCAATATTGTACATCTGACTATTAATGTAAATAATATTTTTGTAACTATCAAATTGTTTAATACTAATATCCTATATATTATGTAAATATTGTAAAAAAATTTTATAATATCTCTTTGTATAACCCCCTGCAACAGGGACACTTCCCTTTATGCTAATAAACATTATTATTATTATCATTATTATAAAAAATATACCTTATCTTAGTACCATTGTACTATACCTTGGAAAACAAAATCTTGTCAATCATAAAAATTATGAAAACCAGAATCAGCATCGAATCCTTGTTCTCATGGCAACAAGAATTTTCATATCAATGCTTCCATAATGAAAATAACAAAAACAAATAGTTAAAAGTAACTATAAAAGAGTAATTGAAAATACAATAAAGTGGCTGCATTTCTGTTTTTCGTGTAAATATAAATAAATTACAAGCATGAATACTGTATTGCATTTACAAATCAAGGTCAATATAGTATGTTATTTTGATTAACTTTCAAATTGTGTTGTAAATGACAGCATTTATATTATACTATCATTTACAACACAACTTTTCTAAAATATAAATAAAATCTTATCTCAATTAGAGATACTCAATACAATATTCTACAATTATCTTCCACAAATTAAACAAACACGATAGAAACAAGTTACGCTTGTAAAATATACACATATATACGTGTGAGAGTTAATTCCTTATATGAAGAGTTTGGGTGTGAAAGATGGTAAGTGTGTTGCCATAATGCTATAATGCTAAACAGCGTGTATTTCAGCGTTACATCTACTTTTAAAGTGTAACATGCACTTTATTCTGATTAAAAAAAGATGGTAAGCATTTTTTATATCCGAACCATTCATATAACATTTTAATATTCAATACGTAACACGTTTACATGAACTTTAAGACTGATTTAAGAATTGTGATTTAATATAATATTTAATACAATCACTACATAACATCTGTATTTAATATAATGAAAAATGACCATTTGTTAAATGTGTAGCCTAAAATAATTTATATAATACTGTCAAGATTTCTTATCAATCGTTGGATTAAATGATATTCTCGATAACTAATAGGCCTATAACCACTGCCAGGAAGAATACATTTTCTTAAAATCATATCTTCTTTAAGAAAATAAAATGAAAATAAAATTTTTATGTTTTGTAGTTGATATTGTAAGATAAAATATCATAATTTAAGTGTTACATCCAAAACATTTTGAATATAGCCTACATGTGAAAAGAATAAGTGTATAACATACAATTAATAATTGAATCTCTAATGAAGAGTGATACTGCTTCTTAATACTTTGTTATCGTTTTAATATATATGACTATTGCATTTTTGATGTAAAATCTATCAAGTATAGTTGCCTATTATTCTATGTTATTCATACGACTCCTTTCTAGAAATGAAGTTTTGATTTTTAACAGTTTGCAAGTAAGCTTTAATGAAAAATTTAAATGAAACTAAATACTGTACAGTAAATCCTATAGCTCTCTTTACGACCAATTGCTTTTATGACTAATTTAAATTTTCTATATTCAAACGTGTATGAGTCGGAGGAGCAAAGGGCCAACTACCCCAAATTCAGGGAAAACCGAGAAAAATCCAAAGTAAAATCAAAACAATCAGACAGAGAAAACAAAAACATCAACAAATTATCAATTGGTACTTGTGTTTCTATTTTTGTAAAATTTCGGAAAATAACCATTTCTGCCTTCTTAACAAGTGTAAATGACAAAAATGTCTTATACAGTCGACCCCCTATAACGCGGTAGATACGTTCCACTTTATAAGAATTTCACGTTGTAGGAATCCTTAAATACATGAGCCAATCACAGCCCGGCACGTGTGCAATTTACGGACTACGACTGTCTGAAAGGTTTTCTTCCATAAAATTAATCAATTCTAGACTAATTTGACTCGAACATTTCCAAAACACGTATAATTTTTGGGAATAATCCGTATAAACTATGCTATAAACAAAAAATTGTAGGATTACTTACCGAGTGTGCACCGTTCGACGACGCCATTGCTTAAGCTTGTTTTCGTCGCGGAGCAGAGCACCAAACGGCGGGTGCGTTTTCTGATAAGTTATTTTTCTGCGAAAAATTCGTTGAACTTTGGAGACATCATTAATAG